CGATTATCGGGTCACTGCATTTACTTTCAGCGCAAATTTAATATAATTAAAAACTTTTACTAGAAACAAGCCGACTGTGAACTTTGACTACAATATGCAAGTATTAAAAACATTAATGGCTTAGTTGAAAGAGTTCTTGCGTCGTATGTAGGAAGTTCTGAATTCGGTTCCGACCGACGGCGTGCGAGTTGGTAAACTAATTCGACACCCCCTGAGCGAAGAGTCATAAGCCCAAGTTCTGAATTTTCTAGGTGAGCGTTTTAGAGTTTTCAAAGGACTAATATCTGCGATGCCTGTGAAATATGATTCATTATTTGTCCTGTTTTGTCATTTTACTGATAGAAATAAAGTTATTTATGAAAAATAAATGGAAATATCCATCGTTGTGGCTTACGATAGATTAGGCAGGAAGGGTTGAATTATAACTTGACAAAACGAGGAAACACCAGCAAAATCGAGAGACTTCACATATTTTTTTAAAAGCGCATGAAGTCCACAACTTAAAGGCCAGCTAGATGGCCTCTAAGCTGTACGGCTGTTGATAAAGGTTGTCGACGATGATACATTTAGCAAGAAAACAAAAACGTTGTTACATATTGTTTTTCGACAAAACTCGCTTATACTTATTTTTTGTTTAAATGGACTGGTATGACTATAAAACGTACTAAATCAATTTGCAAAACAATAATTTGTAATTAATCACACAGCCTTTACAATTTTATGACTTTACAACTTTGACAAAAAGGTTTATTTCTTAGACACTTTACTACATAATTAATTACACATGCGACACCTAATATTGTATACAATAACCAATTGTAAAATCGAATTAACAATAAATATTATATTAATAATTTTTTCAACATTATCGGTAACATATATTTTCCACTACACTCGGCTATACATATGCAAGTTATATGCAAGGTTGCAATTTAAACATATGACAGTTGGGTAGCTTGACGAGTAGCTGACGGGACCTAAAGCCAGTTTCTGGATTATACAGTTAAAAGCCTTTTTGTGACAGTTTCGTCTCACGTTTGTACGCTCTTTGCACGCCATTTGCAAACATGTACGACAGCTCTAATACGGCTTCAAGTCATAATTAAATTGAACCTGGCCACTTCTTCACGTCGCAGAGATGGGTCGATTAAACTGCACGATTGGGCGAACAAACTCGACAAGTAGATCCGAAATCAGTAGATCCTTGATAGACTCCATGTCGTGGCTTTAATGGCTTATGAATTATATAAAGACTTGACGTGTACTTAGGCGGCTTTGTGATATCGCCGGAAAATAACTTTTGTATAGACGAGTCGTATGACTATAGACATACTTAAATTGGAATATGATCGAATTTGACTAATTTAAATTGACAACAAGCTTAAAAACCTTGAGCAGCTGCTATATATTTATTCCGATAGGGAAAATCTCGAAAATATCTTACCGAATAAACATTCCTCTTTCGTATGAAATAACGTTCCAACTACGAGGTCTATCGAGTAATTTATTAAACTTACATTGACTTTTCATCAAAGTAACCTTTTCTAATATTAATTAATATCATTGATACCTTTTCAAAGATAAATATTTTGAAATAATTATTATTTAAATCCATTATGAATATTCAGACGGGCAAATTCGCAGTGGAATATTTAATTAAAAAAAAAAGAAATACGAAACTCAAAAGTACACTCGAGGAAAGAAGTTCGATATTGAATTCTTGATCGAAAATTATTATTCTGTCAGCGACATGTCTTGAGTCGATCAATTAATAATTGGATTGGGTGCGAGGCGTCGAGTGCCTTTTTCTTAATGGGTACCGTTATTGAGAAGGCCGGCACAATAAATTGAATTGCAAAGCGTCATACTTGAGGAATTCGTTTAATCTAGTGGTGGGTATTGAATGCTTGTTCCTCGCCCCTCGCGGCTCCCATGGGCCCCCGGGGGGGCTAAGAGGAGCGAGGGAGTGCATGCCGGCATTGTTTCCCAGTTAATATCGTAGGGCGCGCGTGCCTGTGGAAATACGTGTGTTACGTGGACGGCGCTGCGACAAGATAATAGAGTTTAGACGCGCCTTTTTGATGTGGCTTCGTGTTGATGCAAATATGGTATTTGGTAGAAGCCACAGTTTGGTGACTTTAAAAACTTTAGATCATTTTTGAAGGTGAAACTTCAAAAATACAAGTTAAGCAACGACAACTACTTCGGTAGATGCATTTTCCGAGAACAGTATTTAACAAATCGTAATCAAATACAAAGGTAACTCATAAATCACTTTATTCAATGAAAGTATTATTTTAAATTGAATAAGTAAAAATTTATTTGCTCACGAATTCAATAAGTTTCAAATCGAAAAGCAAGCGATCTTCAACCACTTACCACAGCGTAATCCAGTAACGAAGTGTAAATAAGCAAGCCTAGGATATAAAGCTTGTTGATTGCGCATTATAGTTTGAATCTGCAAGTGACACCACTGTAAACTTCGCGAAATTGAAAAGCCAGCTCAACTTACGATTTTTCCATTTTAGTTTTCCACGCCTCCACTTTTTTCTTCGATAGTACTTTTGCAGGATCGTAGTTTTTATAAAGCATCCTTATTTTTAAAATTCGTATATTTGTTTTTTCAAGCAAACCAACGTTTATAGTCACGGCTGACTATATCGCGAGATTTGAAACCGAAAAACTAGTTTCATTTTCTATATATTTAATTTGTTCATTCTTTCAAAGTACTAAATTTTCCAACTGATTTATATCTATAATTATCATTCTAACTACAAGTTAACAAAGCCGTACCTAGCAGTGGCGTGTAAATGGCATAACAGGCTCTCAAGCATATTAAACCTGAAGATTTAAGTGAAGCAAAAGGATTCTATTGGAATGGCCGCCGTCGAGGGCGACAGAGCCTTGATAAAGGAACCGCCGTTGTCCTGTGGGGCGGACAAACGAATTAGGGAACACATTTGCACTCATGTGTAATAGGGCTGGCAATGGGGAAAATGTGAAATATTTAAATAATAATTAGCATATTCCTGTGGATGACCGAAGTTGAACGACGACCTAGTATGGCAAAACCGGTTGTTGAGTGGAGAGGCTTTTATTTCCATCAGAGGACGTCTTTGGGCTCAAAATGATTTTGATAATATTCTTATGACCAGCATCCCTAAAATTAAAGTTAGTTGGAACGTGACGTCATTATCAAAATGCATTCGTTATATAACACGAAGGCGAATAAACCTTACAACAAAAATTACATACTTTTGGTATAACCTAGAACCGCTTTGGTTTTGAATCAGAAAGCATTTTATAAGCAAGTGACGGGACGAACAACTCGTGCGTGCGGTAAGCGACACGTCTGCCCATAACAGTTGGAGTACCACTCAGTGATTTAAATCGCCAAGACCTAGGAGTACTGCCACTGCCCCCGTCATCGTGAGACTAAAAGTTAATAAGTCCCATTTACTTGTAACTTCGCCAGCACACTTACCCGTCAAAACCAATAACCAGTATCTATATCTATTTATCTAGATAAAGACAATTCATTCCGATTTTGCAGGGTAAGGGTACGGAATGTAGTAATGCTCACATTATTACTTGGCAGCAGAAATAGGTATGGTGACCGTGGCGTCGAAAATAAATGTTTTATGAGGAAATACGGCACATCCTTGCATATTTATTTAACCCGCTAAGTCTCCACGGCGTGACATTAATTTCTAAATTATGTGGAAAATAACAGAAGAGTACTAAAGTTGAGCAATGGAGAAAAGGTTGCTTCTCATTTGGTAAATCGCTGTGAAAGCATATTCCGATGACGTTAGTATCGTGATTGAAACTTCAGAAGAAGAAAGGTCAGAATCCTTGGAAAACTCATGAAGATATTGAACGAAAGTGACGGACTGTATAGACTAATGATAAATAAAGTTAAACAGAGAGTCCTTTTGTAATTCGAACAATCCATTATTGGTCAATAAACATATTTCTCGCAATTGACAACCCTGCCGTAACTGGATTGCGCCAGTCGAGTGGCGTCCAACATGGCAGAGGCTCAAAAATCTATTTCACGTCAATCCGCGCATTTGTCACTTCCACCACATACGCTTATATACGCTCCCACAATCGACCAAACATGTTTTTTACCAAAGGATTGTTTATTCAAATGCATTAGGATACTGGACGTTGCTTTTTCGACGAGAATGGAAACAGTGATAGTTGTGTTTAAAAAACGAGCAATGTTTCGCCACAGTTCGATGGATGATACAAGTACCTTTGGGGTTTATTAAGACACGAAACGTGATTATCTTAATTAGATTAAGAAATAGTGTTTAAATTTTTTAATGCTGTCTTGCTCGCAATACTTTTATGATATAATGCATTATATCAAAAAAGGCACAGCGTAACGCGGAAAAATTAAATCCGTAACCCACCGTACCGAACTCGAGAAACTCGCGAGTAATGACGTCCCAGACGACGAAATCCTTTACTCCCATTTGAAACTCCATTGATTGGATATTGAATTTCGCGCTTAAAAGGAATGTCATTCGAAGAAATTTTAATTTTATTTGGCGTCGTTGTATTCCACAACATTTTTTATTCTATTTTTTCATAATACGTTATTCTATTTATTATACAAAAAAAAAATTGCGCATTTCACCTCTATCTCACCTGATGGAAAGTGACGATAAGGTCGACGATGGAACAAGCACACTTCATACACCTAGATACTGACATGTATTATGCATTACTATTGTTTGTATTACTGATGATCATTTATACGTTTTGACATTTTAAATTTTAACATTGTGATATTGATAATATTAAATAAATTATTGTACACTTTAAAGTAAAAAAATATATAAAATCTTATTATAAGTAATATTAGTTTAAGCGCGTGTGCTTGTGCAATGTGACTAGATTTTTTATTTAATTTTTTTAGTTTCTCAAGTGACGAACAAATATATTTTTCATCTACTGGCATATTCTAATGTTTAAATTACTTGTTCTAGGCGCAGTCGGCGGTGATGGCGACGACAGCGATGACAAGGAAAAGGAAGAAGAAGCAGAACGCGAGCGGCAAGAGGCCATTCGTGAGGCCGAGGAAAGACGCAAGGAGAAGCACCGCAAGATGGAGGAGGAGCGAGAGAAGATGCGGCAGGAGATTAGGGACAAGGTAAGAGAAAGAACTAGAACTCTGTGTAAAATTGCGAAGGATACATCATTCGTGAAGTCGAGTCGATTCGTCTTAGGCGAAGGACGTTAAAGGGGTTAGATTAAATTAATTTGATTACGACGACGTGAAAATGAAAAATAGATATGTGTGTGTGTGTGTGTGTGTGTGTATGTATGTATATCTATCTATATATCGAGACAGCTCAGCGAAAAGGTAAATGAACATTTAAAGATAACTCCACACCAGTCATAAATAAAAGGTTTTGAAGGCTATATCACCGACAAATTTATTTTAAAGCGTTACAATTCACAATGAACAGTAAGGGCGTAGAAGGCTAACGGTGCAATGTTGTGACTAGCACTGGCTATTTTACAATTAACAAACAAACATTGTTTATTTACTGAAAAAAAATTACAAACGTAGCTGAAAATTGTTGAACAGTAAACAGAAATGGGTACACAAAGCCAGTTTATAGCGTTTTCTTGTGCAGGGAGAACCTTGAACCCTTAGATCCTTTACGTTATAAGGTAAAGGTTTTATTGCATGTATTACGTTATATTGTATTACATTTGTCACATTGCGTTTGTTGTATTTGTTCACTCCACACGCGTTTTATCAATAGATGTTTCAAAATCGTTTAGTATCATTGTGTAGTCCCTATTTTTCATTTGCTTGATGAGTCGCCCCTTCAGTACAATTCTGCTCCATCGGCACTTCATTTCACCGATTTTGCGCGCTATGTCGGTTGCTTTAGTTGTCAAAAGTATAACTTTATTAAGAAACCCGCAACGTCGAATCACTTCCATATTATTCTAGATTATCTTTTATCTCCCTTATGTTGCCATCACTATCATCTCACTAGTCGACCCACTGCCACGCGCGCTGGCCCAACGCGGGTTGATCAACTTCATCCGTCACGCAGAAGTCGCTACAATCGTTATTATCAATTCAATTTCATATTCTTCATTTAAACGTACCTATTTATTTGCGCAAGAATTTAAAGTCATAGATACATCCTGACACGGGGATTTGACCTTTCAATAGAGAAGCAATTGTTCTTCCACAGGGATTTCTCGTAACTATTGCCAACGCTTTATAACTCAAATACAAAAGTGATAAATCTTTAATTTCTTAGAAAAGCAAATAAGTCCGTCCGAAACATTAACATATTGTCATTAGATATACAATACCAAAAAACAAAATTTATGGGCGAACCGACCTTCCAACTGTCACGATTCACGATTTTATGTAATTCAGGATAATTTACTGTAGCATTTCAGTAACTGGCGCAAAGTAAATGCAACAGAAATGCGAAGAGTGAGAAAAGAATGCGAAATTACGGCTCGAAAAAATTGCCAAAAATGTCAAGAACGGAATGTGAAGACCAAAGGCGTTCACGGAACTTTTATTAAGACTTTTCAGGGTTCCGTATACCCAAACAATATTCCACTATATCTGGCTATGGTATATCGTACAAGCCTATCCATTCTTTCTTTGTAAGCGATTTATTTGACAGTGTGTCTTTGTCCGACAGGCTCTTGACCTAATTTTTAATCAAAAGTTGCGTGAAAAAAAAATTGCCCTTATATCATTGTGAATTAAGATAGCGGCTTTGGTTTTTTAGCGGCGCCTAGTTAATTTAAGGGTAATTAAAAGATTACAGGTTGACCATTATTTTTCTTAGGCTTTTCTTTATTAAGATGAAGGTAGGTTAGTTATCTGCAACTTTTTTGGGATCCTTTTTAATTAACTTATATTTTAGCAATGTGCCGTCTTATACAATAGACAGTTTTCTGAGGTTAGTTTATTATAGTTATTTGAAAGGAGATTACAGTGGGGGCAGCCCGATGGGGGAGAGAAATGGTTTCTTTCAAATGGTAAACAATACTAATTTATTATTTATTTGCTTACAAACCTCACACCGTTTAAATTCGACGTATGATCCCTCAAATGGCTCTGGTCGTTTCCGCATAGCAGTAAAAGTGTTGAATCAATTTCTTTGGGAAAAATATATAGTAAATTTAAAGATATACACTTATTAGTATATGGTATGAAAACACAATTCCTAAAAATTTTTACTATACAAAAAAACAAACTTACCTCGAAATTATACAAGAAAACCGATGTATTCAATAGGTATCCCGAGGATTTTTTTTTATATCAACTGAACTGAATACAACACATGTAGTATACGACGTACATTTTTCAAATGGCTGTCGTTTCGTTTGGAAAAAAATGAATTCTGAAATAAAGCCAGTGAACTGAATTAGTACAGGAAAAATTTTAATTCGACCTGAGCGATACTAGCTCTTAAATCACAAACTTGCGTAACAAATTTTGACAGATAACAATTCTTATAAAACTTATAATAATTCAATAAATTACAGTAATAAAAAATGCTTATTTCCAGTACGTAGCATTCGCGAAAACTCAAGAACTCAATAACATAATAAATTCTCTTTGTAAATGAAGTATACACGTGTAAAAATGTTCTCAATAGAGACATAACAGGTTTTGTATTTCAGTAAAACACACAATATTAGAGATGTCTAGTTGAAATTTATTCCAGATGAACACACGTTGCAATTAAGAATGTTAATGCGACCACCGAGAGCACATTTGCAGCGTTTGATTCCTTGGAGCCAATTTTCCACCCCTCTTCCACACACAATTTCGCGTTAGATATTATTTCCGAGCGCATTTAACGTTGTTGGCTTGTTGGCATAAACCAACGACTTAATGTGACCCCATAAAAAGTAATCCAACGGTGTCAAATCGCATGAGTGAGGCCATCCGACCAGACTATGTATTTAGCGAGATTACACGATTATCGAACTTCCTCTTCAATAGATCGATTGTTTGAGCAAACTGCACACGTGCTCGCGGTGGTCATATGAACCAGATCGAATTCCATTCTTAAATGTAACATGTGCACTGAACTGGAATCAATTTTAGATCGATATATTGATTATTCTGTTTTATTGAAATATTTACAAAATTGTTACATAACAATATATAATACATAACAATCAATAAGGACATCCTTATTGAAAAACCCGATATATGTATTTATTGAGTTTTTTGTGAAATAACTCCACTAGTTCGCTATCATTAAAAATACAAAAATCGAGTCGGTAAAAAAAAAAGAAAAAACAACAGCTCTATAGAAAGTGTTTATTTTTATTAGCCTTTCTTCCTTTTTTTTGCAAATAAATAAAAGTTATTTGTTAAGATGCTGCGTTTTGTTAAGTTCGCGTTTCTTAAATCCGAACTAGATTATACTGTTTAAATCACTAATATACGACATGATCATATTTGCGTTCTAATTGGATTAAGGAACCCTCTTAAAGATACAAATATCGAACACACGGGAACATTTTCCGTCGACCCGGTGAGATTTGAACACGCGACCGTGCTGCACCGTAGCATTGCTCTATCCAACTGAGCCACGAGTCCAGTTATTGAGTCGCCGAAATTCTTTGTATTTTTGTGACAGATCTTTGTACTGACTTTCGACATTCGTTGCCGCTAGTGACATCTAGTGAGAGATTTTTCGATATTTGTATTCATAATCATAACAATGCTCGTTATATGCTTTGACGGGGCACTGAAAGTGTTTTTGCTCTGTTTCTTAGTCAATAAATTGTTGCTGTAACCGTTATTACATAAATAACTCTACAAAATTTATTAGCTTTAATATCGAACATACATATGAATGAACCATAACCACATTTCACAGACAACCGAGTTACCCAATTACCGACATTTAACCCAATCAGTATCAGTAGCACCGACTAAACTAACACTCGCACTTAATAAACATTATTATGTAATTAGTGGTTACATAAACTCATACGTATCGTATACGTTAGCATATATGGCGATTTACTATCTCAATATAATTATGTGTTGTAAATTAACGTTCCAATAGTTATTTTGGCTTGTTTACCGATGTTAACTGTTTGGGAATTGTTATAATGTTTCTCATCCACATGACTATTTTTAGTAGCAGTGGAGGTCGTTGCGAAAGAGTTGGTCCAGGGAAGAACTGCCCTTACCTATTTCTTTCTTTGGACTTGTCAACTTGCCTCAGGGTGACAGGCGCAGTGGCAGTGCCCCTCAGATCTTTACGATTTAAAGCTCTGAGTGGCAGTACAACTGCTATGGACAGTAATGTCGCTAACACCAGGTATACGACTTGTTAGTCCCGTTACTTGGTTTAATTAAAACAAAAACTGAATCAGGAAAAATATAGGCAAAAATTTGGTGATATGAAGGTGATATAAGAAGTTTAATTAAAGACAAATAACTTGTTACACAATAAACACTTGTTACTTAGCTGAAAGCAGAGGTTTTTCTGTACTGAATACTAGTGTTGTCATCGTCATCTATATTAAGAGGGAGCATGCTAGAAAAGTTTTGACGTTGGCTCCGCCCAAATTTGCGAAACAAATATATGCCTGAAGTTCGCGTGACATGCGACAGGAGATGTTGAATTTTGCGCATTAAAAGTACCAAATTCGTTTTAGCGGAATAACTCTACACAGAAAAAAAGGATTTCTACTAATAAGAAAGAGCAATTTCTCAAAATATTTGCTAATTCTGAAAAAATATTTGTTAAAAGTAATAAAATATTGTCATTACAAAGATACTGCTTATCTTTTTCTAATATAATTTTACTCTTAACTTTATTCTAACTTTGAGACAAATACGTTCACTTCAAGATTTTATTTCATTTCGAATCAATTAATTGGACATTAGGTACTTACATCAAGAAATTTTTACCTCTTACATCAAATTTAAATAATCTTAAATGAATTCAAAATTTCTTGGGTGTATTTTAAGAAAATATATTCTTAAACAAAAAAAGAAGTAGTTTTCTATTCAGATTAATATTCTAAATTCTAGAGTATATTCTTAAAGCAACATTTCGTTGCGTTTTCATAGTCAATGATGTCGTGACATGTCGCCGAAGCCGCACACGGTAACGTTTACTTTTA